TCCGCGTGCCAGGCACTGAGCTTACGGCATCAAGCCGCCCACTAGGCTCTCAGATTTTGTTGGGTGAGTGAAAAATGATCCGATATTGCATTTCTGCTTTCTCACCTGCCACTTACGTCTTAACCGGCTGGACTTCGGAATCACTTTCAAAAACTGGGATCACTTGATACCGAAAGAACAAGGTTGGCACCCTGATTAACCTCATAGCATTTGGCCACGCAAATGCCTGTAATTTCTGGGGCTGGCCTTGGTGTCCCTTCACGCGGCCCCTTCTCTGTACCTCGTTGGCATTTTTGGTGTGTGCCCTGCCGAGCTCCCGCGTTGTTCCTGGCGCCCTCGTCTTGCCGCGAGCTCCTCTCACTCGTCCTCATGGCGTTGATTCTGCGGCCGTCTGATTTTTAGCCTGGATTTCTCTTTCTGCGTTCAAGATCCGTGTTCCATTCTCTGCCCGAAGTCTCCGCCTGGGTATTCACTAGGCGTCCCAAATTAGATTCATTACGTTTCATTATACTGTCCCTGAGTCAATACAAAGTATGTTAAACCAGGCATGGACGCCTGCTTGCCATTTTTTCTGTACTATCACAGTTCATGGTCTCTGCATGTCTGTAGTAGGTCCACAGCATTGTATAAGGCCATGAATGTGCCATTAGGGACTGGGAGCTTTCACCAAATTTTAATCAAGACAATTCTCTGGGCATCGTCCAAAAGAGATGTAACCCTTCTGGGTATTATCTCAAAACAGGTGTAACAGCATTTATGTTAGTTGTTAAGTTGTTACTATATTGGGTTGGCCAAAACATCTGTATACTTTTTTTTTCCATAAAATAAAAGGCATATTTTCATATTCACCAGTAATTTTATTATTTGGATATTTTGAGTGTGTTGGCTATCTCTCGTGTGGTATGACATTGATTGTTCTCCATGTCTTGATTCAATTGCTGTCACCTTCAGCTGGTCAGCCCGACTGCGGAGTGCCGTCCAGCGAGAAACTCCACAAACCACTTCTGACACGTTTGACCCATCACAGCACCTTCTCCATACACTGCACAGATCTTTTTCTGCATTTCAGTTGCATTGTTACCTTTCCTGAAATAATAAAGCATAGTATGCCAAAAATATTGCATGTTTTCTTCCATCTTCAGTGTTAAAATGGCCACACAGAAATTCACCAATTTTGGCAGTTTTGAAATGCATGCTGATATGACAGCTGTCACAATATAATCTAACAAAATTGTTTCAAATGAAGTTAAAGGCAACTAAGTGCTACTAGAGCCACTCTATGGAAAAAAAACGAACGGACTTTTTGGCCAACCCGACAATTAAATAAGATAACGCGCCACTACTCCTCAGCTCTCCCTTACACTGAGCAGGCCCTCCGAGGCTGGCCCCCACTCTCGGCCTGGCCGCCTTTGCTTTGTGGAGCGGAGGGGCGCCTTCCTCTGAGTCTTAGAGGTGCTGCATGAGGGCTCTCTCGCTAGTCCTTTGCCTGAATGATGGCTATACTATTATACCATGCAGTCTGCATTTTAACTTTTTCATAAGTCCTGATAACTTTTTAAATATATAGACTATCGTGGAGAATTTCTTCAGAAGATACACTTACCTGGTCTGTCTTGTGAGCTCAGTTGGCTATTATTTTAATGTGGCAAGTTACTTTCTACTGAAATTATCAAGAAATCCTGTTTGGGACGTTAGTGAATATTAGCTCTGGTTTGGGCTTCATTAAAATGGTTCTCTAAGCTTTTAATGGCCAGAGAAGTAGTTCTCACTGTTGCTCATTCTTAAGACCCATGTATTAACTTTTTTGTACCCCCCTTTCTCTGCTTTAAGGTATAAAGAAGGAAATAGAAAAGTAATAAACAGCTGTCTTAATTTTAAAATTTACAAATGGTCAGAATATAGCCTTTATAAATGTATATTGCATATGTCATGTAATATTGATATTTTTAATTTGGGGTTTTTTTTTTGACCTGTACAATTTTAGAATTTGTATTTAAGTTGAAATATTTTCAGTTTTTCTTGTTTTTGTCTGATTTATATATCTCAAACATTACTATCTCCTTTCTGATTGCTTTTCAATCAGTGAGCATCCTCAAGAAAAGTTTGTATTATGTTGCTAAATGAAGTAATAAAGAATTACGACCATATTTATTTCGATATTCCTTTTCAAGAATGAATTTCTGCATTAGTATCTTTGTTTCTCCTCTCTATTTCTTACTACTTATGGGGGACCCCACGTTCCAGGATATGTTGCCAAGTAGGGCCGCCCCTCTGGGGGATGAGACGTCCACCCTCTAGGCTGGCCTCTCAGTGACGGGCTGGTAGAGGTCTGTTCTCAGGAGTTCCACATTTGACGCAGTAACATGACTTGGGGAAAACAGAAATATGATTCACACAAGGTTGAAAATGCTTATTTCAAATATCCTTTTAGAAATCCCAGGCATTTGGTGTGTGCCTGTGATGGAACGAAACAGAAACAACAATTGGAGAAGGTAGATACTGGCTTCTGGCCAAGGTGAAGGCGTAAGTACATACACTTTGTACCTTGCACAACCAAAAGAAGGATAACAGCAAATTCAAAAACAAACCAAAAAAACAACCAGAACTGCCAGAAAATTGAACTGTGTGGACGTCCTACAACTAAGAAGTTAAAAGAAAAACATTCATCCAGACGGGCAGGAGGGCTGAGACCAGTAGCCAGGCGTAGGACTTGCAGCAGGGCGGCAGCTGGAAGACTAGGACGTCCCACATTTGGGCGCAGATAAACCGGGAGGAACAACTAGGCAGCAAGACAGACCACACAGCCCAGGGCTCCAGCGTGGGGAGATAAACTCTCAAAACCTCTGACTGCAAAAATCTGTGGGGGTGAGGCAGTGGGAGAAACTCCCAGCCTCACAAGAGAATTTGTTGGAGAGACCCACTGGGTCCTACAACACACAAACCCACCCACCCGGGAGCCAACACCAGAAGGGCCCAATTTGATTGTGGGCAGCTGGGGCAGTGACTGAGAGCCGGCGGAGAGCCGAGCAAGTGGCAGTGTTCCCTCTCGGACCCCTCCCCCACACAGTGCCACAATGCAGCCCTGTGGGTTGCCCTGCCCTGGTGAATACCTAAGGCTCTGCCCCTTACAACATAATGGGTGTGCTGAGACAGAAGTATGGCCCAAGTGAAAAAACAGATCAAAGCTCCAAAAATAGAACTAAGCAATGAAGAGATAGCCAGCCTATCAGATGCAGAGTTCAAAATGCTGGTAATCAGGGTGCTCACAGAAATGGCTAAGTATGGTCACAAAATAGAGGAAGAAGTGAAGGCTATACAAAGTGAAATAAAGAAAAATATACCGGGAACCAACAATGACAGGAAGGAAACTGGGACTCAACGGTTTGAAACAAAGGAAGAAATAAACATTCAACTGGAACAGAATGAAGGGACAAAAATTCAAAAAAATGAAGAGAGGCTTAGGAACTTATGGCACAACTTTAAACATTCCAACATCCTCATCGGGTGCCTGGAGGAAAAGGGCAAGAGCAGGAAATTGAAAACTTACTCAAAAACATAATGAAGGGAAACTTGCCCAATCTGGTGAAGGAAACAGACGCCCAGGAAGCCCAGGAACCTCAGAGGGTCCCAAAGAAGTGGGACCCAAGAAGGAACACACCAAGACACATCCTAACTAAATTACCCAAGATTAAAGATGAGAGAATCTTAAAAGCAGCAAAAGGAGACAGTTACCTACAAAGGAGTTCCCATAAGGCTGTCAGCTGATTTCTCAAAAGAAACCTTACAGTCAAGAAGAGACTGGAAAGAAGTATTCAAAATCATGAAAGGCAAGGACCTACATCCAAGATGACTCTATCCAGCAAAGCTATCATTTAGAATGGAAGGGCAGATACAGTGCTTCCCAGATCAAGTTAAAGGAGTTCATCATCACAAAAAGATCAAAACTATAAACAGTAAAATGACAACAAACTCACAACTATCAACAACCGAACCTAAAAACCAAAACCAAACTAAGCAAACTACTAGAACAGGAACAGAATCACAGGAATGGAGATCACATGGAGGGTTATCCGTGGGGAGGGGAGGGGGAGAATGGGGGAAAAGGTCCAGGGAACAAGAAACATAACTGGTCGGTACAAAATAGACAGGGGGAGGGTGAGAACACTATGGGAAATGGGGAAGCCAAAGAACTTACATGCACGACCCATGGATGTGCACTAGGTGGGGGAATGCTGGTGGGGGGAGGGGTGGCGGGCTGAGAGGGATGAGGGGGAGGGGAAAACTGGGATGACTGTCACAGCATAAACAGTAAAATACATTTAAAAAGTGAAGAAGGTAGACGTGAGCATCTAAACGTCGGGCTCATGTCTTTAGAACCTGTGCGCTCTCGTTGTGTCTCGGGGGCTTTGAACTCTCAGGCGCTCCTGACTGCTGGGTTCACTGCCGTGTGACTCGCTTAGTACAATGGTTATTCCCCCACTGAGTCCAGAAACTGTGACTTCCAGCTTTATAATGGCACTTTAAATTTCTCGCTTGATTTTAATACATGTGTTTCTTCAGATGAATCTTAGAATTATTTGAATAGTCAAATCTCAGTGAGGTTTGGATTGAAATTACATTAAATACTGAGTTACACTATTGTCATTTCAGTTTAGGAAAATAATGTGTTTGTTTACATTTAAATCATTTTTTAATTCTACATAATGTTCATAATGTAGACAGGTAAAGTTTTGTGATTTTTTTCTATTGTGCTATAAATTTCTTAATGTTTTCCCCCCTTTTTTGATATTTTTAATATGGTCTTTTCCCACTTACTAATGGCGGTATAGTTATATAGGAAAGCTCTTGACTTTTCTTCACTAGTTATATTTCTTAAACTTAGTTCCAAATGTTTGTTACTCTTTTAGTTAATAGCCTGCAAACACCTTTGTAGAACTGGTGAATTGACCTCTACCTTTACCTATAATTAAAAAATTGTTTTTGCTTTTTTTTTTCTTAAGCTCTTTTCACTTATGGACATGAAACCTCCCATCTCTAGAGCCAAGATGATTCTCATCACAAAAGCTGCTATTAAAGCCATTAAGGTAAGAGTAAAATCAATATATTTAACTTGAGAAAATGGTTTTGAAATTTTGACACTGTTGCTAGAGAAGTTATCCTGTGCGTCTGTGCAGGCCTGAGCCGTTGAACACTAACCGGCCCGCTGTCCTTACGTTCCTAGTGCTTCCCCGGACAGTGTCCCAGCTTTACTGACACTTTATGGGCACACAGCTAACAAGTGGAGATTGTGTCCGTTTAATAACATATACTGAAACACAATTTGATACATATGCATTGTTCAGTGAGCACCACAGTGAAGCTAAGCTAATCAGTACTGTCACCTCACGTAGATCGTCACCGTGTGTGTGTGTGTGTGTGTGTGTGTGTGTGTGTGTGTGTGTTGCTGAGAAAAGTGAACTCCCAGAAGTGGAGAGTAGAGTGGCCAGGTTTTTTTTTTTTTTTTCGTGTAATTCTTGTCATAAATCAGCTAAGTGTTAGTTTCATTTTTATTTAAAAAAATAATTTGGGCTGCATGAAATTAAATTTCTTACCCAAGATGAAACCTAAGTAAGTGACTCATTTTAGAAACTGCATGATTTAGTTTTGATTCCATTGTTCTTATCCCTCTCATACATACTGCCTTATGAAGGTTTATTGGTTAAAAATCTAAGAAAAGGGCCTTCTGTTTGGGGGTGGGGGGTGTGGTTTTATGTTTTAGTTCATTTCTGATATTTTTTCAGCTGATTTTTTCTGATGATTTTTTCGGCTGATATTTCTGATGGTTTATTCAGTATTATCTTGAGAATCATTTAAATTGTGCAGATTTCAAGGTTTTAAGTATTTTCTAATTATATTGCAGGGAATGTAGACATGTAAACTAAATAATTTTCTTGTAATTCTTTTCAGCTTTACAAGCATGTAGTTCAAATAGTGGAAAAGTTCATCAAGAAGGTAACTACCCACTTTACGATCACCTCATTTTAACTGCGTGCGGTGTCTGGGATGTGCTCTGTACGCCGTGATTCAGATGCTTGCTTGTAGAGCCACTGAGCCAGCAGGTGTCACTGGAGGTTCTTCTGAACCTCCAGAGGCTGTTTTTAAAGAAACAAAACCACCCGAGGGCAGCCCTGCTGGCCGAGCGCCCGCTGCGGGGTGGGCGCTGGAGGACAGTCCCCCGTGCGCGCTGCCTGCCCCAGCCCGGCGCCCTGGCCCTCCCTCCGTGGGCACTTCGCTCGTCCCAAAGCATTCCCGACGAAACACTTCATAGTAGAACCCGTCCGGCTCTTCCCTGCTCCCAACACGGTTGCGTCGTTCTTAGTCCCAGGGGCGGTGCCCTCGTAGCCGTGTGGCCGGCACACACGTCTCCGCAGAGCACAGCAGCCGGGACTTGGGCGTCACTGTCTGTTCCCCCGGTCCGTGGCTTTGAGCACTGGCTCAGGGAGAGGGAGCAAATCAAAGCTCCTCTCAGTGAAGTGGGAAAATTACAGTCACCTGCCTGCGCACTGGGTCTGCTCGTATTTCACCACACACGTGCACACGCCTGAGGGGAAAGGGGGCGCGCGCTGACCGATGACCGCCCCCCGCCGAGGTGACCGCAGACACCCGCAGGGGGCTCTGTGGCTCCACCGGGCCGCACTGACCCGCCCGTCCCTCTGCCGGCCATTCCACCCTGTGGCCAGCCCGGGGGCGGGACCAGGTGCGGCGCAGTGGTGGTTCTGAGGGTGAGCTGCTGGACGCGCGGCTGCTGGCTTCCCTGAGGCTCTGCTTTCACGCGAACTCGTCCTCGTGACGCGTGCGTCACTGGGATGCGTGTGGGGGTCTGTCCCTGTGTCCTGCCCGTCTTGCGGGCTTCATAGTCCCAGAGCGCCCTCCGTTAGTCTTTGTTCCTCTGGGACTGTGTGTTAACATTTCCTTGTCCATAATGTTAAAGGGGAAAATCAGTATCGTTTTTTTAGCAGGTTGCTTCGGGTTTGTGTGGAAGCGGTGTAGGGATTGGCACGGCAATGCTGACCCTGGGGAGCTGTGGGAGGCGGAGGGTGGGAGAGCGGTGAGACCGGGGGGTCTGGCGCACAACGAGAAGGGTAGCTCTGTGCGGGGGCCTGGCCGGCCGGACAGCCGGGCCCGAGGGCGGTTTCCGGACAGAGACCGTCGTGTTGGTGGCCGTCGGCCTGTGCGTGTGCTGTTCTGAGTTGACGTCCCGTCTTTCTCTCTGCAGTGCAAACCAGAGTACAAGGTTCCAGGACTGTATGTGATCGACTCCATTGTTCGGCAGTCTCGCCATCAGTTTGGGACTGACAAAGATGTTTTTGGGCCAAGATTCTCTAAAAACATAACCGCCACATTCCAATATTTATATCTTTGTCCATCTGAAGATAAGGTATAGTTAGTAATTTTTAAATTAAAACTTGTATGATTCTTATTTGTATTTATTTGAATCTATTTAAATGTACTTTAGATGTTGGAAGCCTCTATGATGTTTTCTAATCATATAGTAATCTCTGAACTTGGAACAAAACCCCATTTTTTCTGTAATGATCATCTCATATTTATCTATTTTTTTAAAGATTGTATTTATTTATTTTTAGAAAGGAGGGGGAAGGGAGGAAAAAAGAGAGGGGGGGAAACATTGATCATTGCCTCTCACACGAACTTCCTGCTGGGGACCTGGCCCCCAACTCAGGCATGTGCCCTGACTGGGAATCGAACCAGCAACCTTTCAGTTTTCGGGATGGTGCCCCACACACTGAGCCACAGTCAGACAGCCAGGGCTATCTGTTTTCTTGTAAAGTCCTTTAGGAATGCCACACTATTGAAATAGGAAAGGAGCACCATCTTGTTTTGAGGAAGACAGAGAGGAATACTTGTGGCTGAGTGGTTAAGAAATTCTGTGGTCGAGGGGGCCAGGGTTCAGCTCAGATGGCTGCTTATTCTAGAAGGGACAGCAGTGCGAGAGCATAAGTGGTCTTCGCCAGCAGTCAGACGGCAGACCTGGTTTCTTACTCCCGGGGCTGGTGTTACGGGGGTCCAAGGTTGCAGGTCCAGCCCCCCGTCAGGGCACATACAAGAGTCAACCATGAATGCATAAGCGAATGGAACAGCAGTGACAAATTGATGTTTCTCCCCCCGTTTCTTCCTTCCCTCCCTTTCTCTGGAAAAAAAAAATCAATAAATTAAAAATATATATTGTAATTGTTGCAGTCATCCTAAAGAAATAATTCTTCACTTCTGTAACTTTTTTTTCCAGTGATAGGGTTTCTTTTTTTTTTTTTTTAATGCACTTTTTGCACAATATTTTTAATTAAATATTTCTTTTTATTTATTTATTTTTAGAGAGGGAAGGGAGGGAGAAAGAGGGAGGGAGAGAGAGAAACATCAGTATGCGGTTGCTGGGGGCCATGGCCTGCAACCCAGGCATGTGCCCTGACTGGGAATCGAACCTGCGACACTTCGGTTCGCAGCCCACGCTCAATCCACTGAGCTACGCCAGCCAGGGCAGGTTTCTTTTTAACTATAAAGTAAATACGGAAACTTCAAGTACATTTCTTCATTATTAAATAATCCACTTCTTCTGAGTCTCTAGGCTGTGTCACTTTCCGTCCCTCCCCCCGCGCTCTTTTGAGGCAGGGGCTCCCACTGCTGAGATGAAAGGCTCGTCACGGCCGTCCAGCCAGGCCGCGGCTCCGATGGTCGATTTTCCTTCCGTGTTTACGAAACGGATTTAGCGTGGAAAAATTGGCCTGGGACTTTTTCTTCACTACTTCTGTGAGGCGCAGTGGGTTATTTATGCAAAAATTTATTGTGTGTTCATGTTTTCTCACACTTCACAGAGTAAAATAGTCCGTGTGCTGAACCTTTGGCAAAAAAACGGAGTGTTCAAAATCGAGATCATCCAGCCTCTCCTGGACATGGCGGCGGGGGGCGGCAACGCTGCCCCGGGGGCTGACAGCGTCACCAACAACGAGGGTGAGGCCCCGCGCGTCTGCGAGCGAGCGTGGGGAAGGCTGTGTCTTCCCGTCCATGGGGCGTTGGGGGTCTCTTTCTAGCGGTGGGGTTCTTTCACGAGAAGGAGACTTGCGGTTACATCGTGGGAGGTGCAGGGCATTTTCCCCGCAATCGTTCACAGGGAAAACACCGCTCTTCCAGGACTCCGTGCAGCACAGACTCCGGTGCCCCGGTCCAGTCCATGTTTTTACCGTGCTAAACCGGACCGAGTGTTGCTTTGGTGAAAAAGCTCGATGCAGTGTAAACAGGAAAATGGGTGCATTAAAGTCTTCTTAGGCCTCGATGTCCTTTTCTTTTTTAGGTTCACCCCCGCCTCCGGTTAAAGTCTCTTCAGAACCCCCACTCGCCACTGCAAACTCGGTACCAACTGTCTCACAGCTGCCCAGCTCCGACGCCTTTGCTGCCGTGGCCCAGCTGTTTCAGACCACTCAGGGGCAACAGGTAAACTGCCCACCCAAGATGCTATCGTTGCAGTTTGGCGCTGTTGTCCCTGATGATGGACACGTTTGAGGGAGGCAATAGTTCCGCTGTTCAACTAGGAGCGCCTTGGCTAGGGAGGTGGTGGCATCGAGGAAAGGGGGGGTGTGGCAGGGGAGAGACCAGGGGCAGACCTGGGGCTGAGCGGGGCCCTTGGGCGGGAACCCCAGAGCCGCTCTGACTGGCGCCGCTGCCCTGGGTTGGGCTCTCGGACTGACTGCAGAGTCAAAGCACATGTATTTACCTTGCTCGCTACCCAGTGTAGTTTCTCTTTGACCATTATTTTTCACCATTGGGGTTGTCGACATATATTTTTAACTTTAAGCAGTGCACCTTGTATCCCTGATTGTATTTATTCACAAAAAAAAGTAACCCTTCCTGAAATGTTGGCTCTTCTTCCTAGCTTACTCTGTGCCTGTGGTATTTCGAGTCACCTTGAAGGGTTCTTTCTTAGTGAAAAATGCCTTTTGATGCAATGGGTTTACCTTGTGATGTGGTTGATCAGTGTACCCATTCTTTAAGCTTCAGCAGATCCTTCAGACTTTCCAGCAGCCTCCAAAACCACAGTCTCCTGCCCTTGACAATGCTGTGATGGCTCAAGTTCAGGCTCTCACGGCCCAGTTGAAGACAGCTCCCACGCCCCCGCCCGAACAGAAAGCCACTGCGTTTGACAAGGTAACGATGCCCCACGGCACCTGCCTGCCCACTCGTGTCTGTGCCCCGCCCTGGGGGTCGGGGAGCCGGCCTTCTCCGGAGTCTTGAGCGCTCGCTCTGTTGTTTGTGGTGTCGCACGTTCTCCCGGGGACATCAAAACACTGACTGTTCTTCCTAGTTACCGACTCAGTGTATTCTCTGTGAGGGATTTTCCAGTGGCAGAATAAAGGAAAAGGAAGCAGGGGACCATTTGCCATTGAACCCCGTACTTGGAGATAACTGCTGTAACACTTTGCTGTGCGTTTTTTCAGAATTTATTCCCTGTGGGTATATGCCTTTATTTGGTCGTATTACACACACACACACACCCACACACACACACACACACACACACACAGTGTTTAACTTGCTTATTTTGATCTTAATCTTCTCGTCTCATTCTTGTTGGTGGTGCTGTTAAGGCTAACAGGTTTAGATGTACATTTTTTGGAGAGCTTGTCAGGCCCACTCCGTTGTGTGGACACGTCACTGTTTGTTCAGCCATTCCCCTCTCCGTGTGCGTGGAAGTTGCTTCCCGAGTTTTGCTGTGAAAGAGCCTTGGCCACCACATGCGCGTGAGGGTTTGGGCTCCGGGTCTGCGCTGCCCTGCTGGGCCTGGGCGTGTAAGAGGGGCAGCTGCCACGGGTGTTGGTGTGAGGAGAACGCGCAGCCCAGACCCGCTGGCTGAGGTGCTGGCCCAGGCCACTCCACCCTCGTCCGTTTGTGGCTGTGTAAACCTTATTTCATTTGATAGGTTTCACTGCAGATAAGCGTGTTTGAAGGCCCCAAAACTAAATGTTAATCTTGAGATTTCTGATTTCTTTTCAACATTCTAATGATAAGGTATGATGACGTTAGCTGTCATGTTTTGTATAAGACACGTGGTGCCGGTGGTCCAGAGTAAGACCCCGTGCAGTGAACACTGGCTGTCCTGCATCTTGGTGGTTTATGAGCAACCGCTGATCAGAAGAAGGTCAGATAAAACTTTTCGGTGCAAAAGGCATGTACACATAAGATGAAAATGCAGATAATACAGAATTGTGTAAAGAAAAAAGGGAAGCAGTTTCTCTGCTTTGAACAGATTTGTGTATTTTTTTCAGACCTATTTCCCTGTACATGTGGACATATATTTTCATATACTATGGTTTTGTTTATTAGATTTTTATTTGGAGTCCTGATTAGGAAACCTTCCCATCTATACATTGTTTAATTTTTTATTTTATTCTAGAAGTTTTATATCTTTTTTATGTTTGTCTCTTTTCATTCTTCTGGAACCTGCTTTAGAGTATGGTTCAAGGCAGTTAAATCTTTATATTTTTAGAAATGAGCGTTTCTCCCTCGCCGTTTTGGTCACACACTAAATTCTGTTTAGTGCCTGTCTCTGTGCCTGTCTGTTAGACTCTCTAATATATTTGTTTATTCCTGCATTACAGTTTAAATCCTTACAGCTCACACACCACATTTTATTTCCAGGTGTCGGGTCCTTCCTCCCTGCGCACCACGTTCTCTTTGGCTGTTCCTGGGCGTGTTTGTCGTCAGGCTCACCAGGAAAAGGGCCGGGTTTATACACACAGAACAGGGGTGGAAACGGGGGAGAGGCAGCAATGGGTTGGTTTTTGAGGCGCTGGCTCACACAGCGATGGAGGCTGGCGGGCCTGAGACGGGTGGGGCGGGCGGGAAGCTGAGACGCGGGCGAGAGTGGCAGTTCCAGGCTGAGTCTGTTCTGAAGGGCAGGGTCTCCGTGTTGCTGCTCTTAAACCTTCAACCGATTCGTTGGGGCCCATGCAGATTATGGAGGATTTGTTTTTTAAGATTTTATTTATTTGTTTTTAGAGAGAAGGGAAAGGAGGGAGAAAGAGGGAGAGAAACATCAATGTGTGGTTGCCTCTCACGCGCCCCCTATTGGGGACCTGGCCCGAAACCCAGGCATGGGTCTTAACTGAGAATCGAACCAGGGATGCTTTGGGTCACAGGTCGGCCCTCACTCCACTGAGCCACCAGCCAGGCTAGGGGGTACTTCTTTAGTCAGTGTCTTCTAGTGGAAACATTAATCTCGGTTTTTAAATGTCTTTGCAGCAACAGCTAGATTAATATTTGACCAAACAGTTAGGCACCACAACCCAGCCAAAGTGACACATAAAAGTAACCATCACAGCCTGCTTTTCCAGATGAGTTTGAGCATGTATTTTGGAATTCGTGGATTTATAGGCTGATTTAAGAAGTATTGACAGCTTATTTATACAGTGTCCATATATTACAATGTCTTTTTTCATGTCTTGTACACTTGTTTCATTTAGTCTTAGCTATTTAGTCATGTTTCATGTTTAATGTTTCATATTTCATTTGGTTAATGATGACATAGAACAAAACTGTTGATTTTTATTTTACCTTGTAAATGGTCATGGTATTAAATGCTTAATTTTCTGGTTGGTTCTCAGATTTTTCTAGGTCGCTACTCTTTTCCTCTTTTACATCTAAACCTGTTTCCCTCCCTCCCCTCCCCCCCCCCATTGTATTGGTGGCCAGGACTTCCAGGAAAGTGTTGAATAGTAGCAATGCTACTGGTGTCCCTAGCTTGCTACTTTGAATGGGAATTCCTCTAGTATTTTACCTTAAGTGAGTTGGTCAATGTTTGTTTTTATATCAAGTTCAGAAAAAAAGGAATTTTGTGCTTTTCCTGTTGCTAAAAAGTCCTGTTTTAAGCTAGCCAAACAGGTTGACTGGAAACAATTTGTGTATTTCAGCTGACTCATAGATTTTCAGTTTCCTGAAAAGGAACAAAAAATGTGTTTGTGGATGGATCTCAGTTTAATTTTTTAATTGCTTCAAATCTTTTTCCAAAGCAGTAGGTGTAAATCTTAAAACCTTAAAACACATGCCCACACGTGGCGAAGTGCAGGGGCCACGGGTTTGTCTTTGTGGACCCAGGCGTCGAGGGTGGCAGTGCACCGACGTGGGGTTTCTCAGCTCTTCGGCGCGTACCGCCGTGCAGGGTGACGGCGGCACCTGCGTCTTATGCCACAAGGGTTGGGTGAAGCCAGCGCGTGCACAGCCGCGCGGTGTCTGGATCACGCGGTCACAGTCAGCACTTCAGTCCCGTGGCCCGGAGCTGCACAGGGAAGGGCACGTGCTGTCCCTCCCGCACCTAGAGACCCGGTGCTCGGTGCGGTGTGGCAGAGCGGTCCCAGGACTCGGCCCACACAGGGGTCTGGGGCTGGAAGCCCACGCGCGGAGCAGACACCGCCGCAGAGGGGGCGTGCGTTGGGTGCCGGAGCCGGGGCTGGAGGCGGAGAAGACTGGCGTCCACATCCTCATCCTGCCGTCCTCGGCCCTCCCGTCCCGGCGGCGCTTCTCGGTGATGGCCAGAGCCGCAGTGTCCTCGTTTGTAAAGCGAAGAAACTGTCTCCCGGCCTGCTTCCTGTGGTGGGGGAGCATTGTGGGCGGTCCACCCAAACACACAGTGGGTGTGCGTTGTGCTGCGGCCCCCCTTCCCTCCTTCCTTTCTGAATAAGTGTAGTCGGCGTTTAAGTGGTTCTTCTGGGTGTGATCTTGTTGAGTGCCCTCATTCTTTCTTTTTCTTTTTAAATGAACAATCTGGTCATCTGAGGTGGCTGTGAAGTTATTAGAAAGAAGCTGGTGCTCAGGTAGTGAGCCGTTTCCTACGGCTTTTGTAGTGACCGAATTGGGTGGTCTTGCTTTTTGTGCATTTCACGGCCTCCTGGGAAATGTGCACCGTTGTAATCCATGTGGAGTCGCAAGTTTTTTGTCTAGGAACATGACTGTTTCAGTAAAACATTTATATCGCTAATAAGCATATAGACAATGGTCAGAAAGAAAACACTGCATTTATAATTGGGGAAGAAAGCAGAACAAAAAATGTCTCACGTGACATTTGTGTTAAGATGGGTTGCCCATGAGCCAAGGTCCTAGGGGCATGTGCGGGAATGGTGGTGTGCACGACAGCATGGCGGGAGTGGAGATGGTAGAAGCGTCTGCTGTTTTTACAAAGCTTTTGTGCACTGAACACAGTCAGCTTTAAAGCGGAGTGCTGATGTACCTGTTGCAGAAGCTGCTAGACCGATTTGATTATGACGATGAGCCAGAAGCCGTGGAGGAGTCAAAGAAAGAAGATGCTGCTGCCTCTGCTGCCAGCACGGCCTCTGCCACCGCTGCCCCTGCTGCCCCCGCCGCCACTGCCCTGCCCGCCGCCGCCGCTCCTGCCACGTCCCCGCCACAGGCGCCCTTGTGAGTCTGCGCTCCTCAGTGTCGGGAGTCGGTGGTCTCTGCGAGGCACAGCTTGAGGAACGTCAAGGAGGGAGATTGTTTTCCATAGACAGTCATGTCTTTTTAAACACTGGTGTTTCGGGTTTTCTTTTTCTTTTTCTTTTCTTTTTTTTTTTTTAAGATTTTTATTTATTTATTTTTAGGGAGGGAAGGGGAGAGAGAGAGAGAAACATCAATGTGTGGTTGCTGGGGGTTATGGCCTGCAACCCAGGAATGTACCCTGGCTGGGAATCGAACCTGGGACACTTTGGTTCCCAGCCCGCGCAAAATGTTGATTATTAATGATTCCTAGATATTTTTCTTCCATTTTTCAATCACTTATTTTAAATTATAGTTGACATACGCTATGTCAACTGTAGCGGAGAGGCTGTCCGCACTCCTGCGCAGGACGTGAGGAAGGGGCACAGCCCTCAGCCCACAACAAATTAGAGTTGACATACGCTACGAGTTCCAGGCTAGACAGCATTCTCTGTGCTGCTGTATACGCGTGGGTGAGAACCCCGAGTGCTCCGGACGGGTAACAGGGTCACTCGCATTTTTCCAGTGGGTTCCCTGGCGACGGCATGCAGCAGCCGGCCTACCCCCAGCATCAGAGCATGGACCCGTTCCCGCCTCCGATGATGGCGCTGCAGCAGGACCCCGGGCACCACCAGGTACGGCGCTTCCCTTGCAGCTGGGCACCCTCACCTTCCGGCGTCTTCATCGGGGGCTGCGAGTTGCACCTCACAGACCGGTGTGCAGCTGTGCAGCACAGGACTGGTCGGAGGTGCTCTTCGCTTTAATCAAAACAAGGATGCCAAATACCGCATGCTTGTACTTTAATACCGGGTGTTTCTGTTCAAGTGGCTTAGCGAGCAGTTAGGGCCCTGTTGCAGGGAGCTGGCCAGTCTAGTGGCAGAGCTCTTTCCCGTGGGAGGGGCCTCTCTGGGCCCTGGTGGTGGGTGCCGAGAGGCTGTCCGCCCTCCCGCGCAGGACGCGAGGAAGGGGCACGGCCCTCAGGAGAGCTGCAGGGAGTCCTCGGGTGTGGGTTAGCACAGCCTCTAGTTCAGAGCTCCCTGAACCTGACTGTGCATCTGAGTTAATGGGGGCAGGGAAGGGCCTTTTGAGAACTACGGACCCTGGCCCTGTGGTGCTGTGGTCGGCCCAGAGGGCTGCTTCTGTGTTCCTTGTGCAGCGTTCTGTTGCGCGGCTGGTCTTGGGGCGGCCCTTGGTAGCCTCAGTTTAGAAAGGGTCCCGAGAAATCTGTTTAGGCTATCTCCATTTTCTTATATCATTTTCCGTCCATTTTATACATGTGGTAATATGAAACTTACATTGTGATTTCAATGACATGTTGATGAATGAAGTTTGAGAAGTATTTTATAAGTCTGTTTAAGATAGGAAGAAAACCTATGAACTTACTTCAAAATGTTTAACAATTACTGAAAGTTTATAGATAATTTAGAAAGAATGCCTCTCTTGTGACCTTATAATTATACTTTTAATTATGCAGACACGGGAATGGAATGGCACGTACAGAAATACGTTAGTTTGTGGTTCACTGTCGTTATTATATTTGATGTCCCAAAAGTGGGCTTGTTAGTCGAAACTGTCCTTAGAGTAAATTTTTTAAATGGTTTTATGTACGTATGTATGTATGTATGTATGTATTTAGAGAGGGGGAGGGGATGCGGGAGAAACACAGGGAAAGAAACATCCACTCATTGCCTCTTGCACACGCTGGACCAGGGACCTGGCCCACAACCCAGGCTCCTGCCATGACCCGGCATCGCACAGGGTCCGCCCAGGCCCCGTGCCCCACCCATCAGGGCTGCAGTGAAGTTTTCAAGGGGTGAACCTCAAAGTGACTGCTTCCAGCCAGTTTCTCCCGAAAGTCAGACCTTTGACTTTAAGTTCAGTCTGTGTCCTCACATAAGTGAAGTTGTATCTTTAAATACATGAAACCCAAACCTTGTGTGTTTGTCACGTTGAAATGAGTCATAGGGTTTTTAACCAACACACTTCAGTGTGTAACAGTTCTTTGGGTGATTGTTATTTGTGGAAATTGTTCGTCACTATTGTATGTCGTTGTAATTTTTCTTAGATCAAAATCTGTTGAAGGCATTTTAAAGTATTTCTTAAAAATTATTTTTGGTAGCTATTACCTAAAACCTACTCACACTTTCTTTGAAAACCAAGGTTGCACTTCCTCCTAACGGACAGATGCCAGGGTTCGGCCTGCTTCCCACGCCCACGTTCCCGCTGCCGGCTCAGCCAGCCGTGCCCCCGGCCGTCCCCGGGCAGCCGCCGTTCCAGGCCCCGTTCCCGGCCCCCAGCGAGCCACTGGCGCAGAAGGCGCACCAGGTAGCACTGTGTTCTCGGCTCCCCCTGGCTTTGGTCGTGGGCTGGTGCGGGCTCCTCCTGCCCGTGGGCATGGTACCCGAGTTCTTTAACGTGAAGGAAGGCTCTGGCTTGGGCACACGTTAACCCTCTCTGTGCCCAAGTTTTTCGTCCGGAAAGTGCACGTCGTAACACTGCCAGGTCATGCCCATGAGGTTCTTCGGGATTGGGACACGTGAAGTACAGAGTGCTTGACGGTGCCTGACCGTGGTTTAGCAGAACAGCATGTACCCTGTACGGAGTTCTTTCTGAAAGTGAAGTGTTTCTTCTAATCTTGTCAACCATGTAAAAAATGTGTCCCACTGAAGGCCAGTGATTACTGAGCTAGTAATATGGACTCGAGCCACCAAAAGAGAACTGCTTCAAGGCAAGAGATCTGTGATGTAATGTCTTTCAGATTTCGTCCTCTTGCCTTATTTATAATGTTCACTTCCCGTGTGTAACGGTGGCTGGCTCTTCGTTGGTTTGTCTTTGAAGGAGGTGAAAGCCGAGCCGCCGTGCGCCCCGGAAGTTAACAAGCGGCACATGTCCGACAGCAGGAAGTCGAGATCCAGGTCAGCGTCCAGGTAATTCCCGGGAAGTATTTTCCAACCCTGCGTGTCCTGGGACGCGCTGAGAGTAAAATCGAGTTGGGTTGGTTTCAGGTTGGGTGAACAGAGTAGCCGTGTGTGTGTGTGTGTGTGTGTGTGTGTGTGTGTGTGTGGTGGGAGTGGGGACAGGAGTATGTCTAGAAAATTCCAAGCTCAGTCACCTTACTCCTATTCGTTCCCTCTGAGTTGCATCGGTGCCTGCGCACAGAGTGCATTGCAGAACTGTGTCCTGGCAGTTCTTACAGTAACAAGCACAGCGCCTGTACGCGCTGAGCAGCTGACAGCACAGAAATAGTCAGACTGCGTTCTAATCGCTGTGGGAAGAAGACCCGACTGAGAGAGGGGTGACGGCCGCAGCCCGGGGCCGCAGCCCGGGGTCGGCACCCGGCCCTCCCTGGGTCTGCTGGCGCAGAGTCTGCGCTGCGCTGGGGCACTTTCATGCGTGCGCAGCTGTCTTGATCGTGTTTGCAATCCGGCCTTTCCCTGCTCCCGGTTTCTCTCTCTCACCCTCACCAAAATTATGTGCTTGTATTTTTCCCTTTTTCTAAAATTAACACAGGCTTACATTTTAAAAAAACTTTTCTCTTCGTGTGCTACCCGTTCTCCATCCTCGTGAAACTGCTAGGTCACCGAAAAGGAGGCGATCTCGGTCTGGTTCCAGGTCTCGGAGGTCTCGCCACCGACGTTCCAGATCCCGGTCCCGGGACAGACGCCGACACTCTCCGAGATCCCGGTCCCAGGAAAGACGGGATCGGGAGAAGGAAAGAGAGCGCCGCCAGAAAGGCCTCCCTCCGATCAAGTCAGAAACGGCGAGTGGTGAGTTCTCTCTGCCTTCAGACTCCCCGCGTCGTTTCCTCGGCGCGTGGGTTCGCGGTGGTTCCTGGCGGCCATCGAAGCACCGCTGTGTCTGTCTCGTTAGTTTAACGTGTGTCCTGGCCGGGGCGCCGGCCGCGGGCTGCCTGCAGCCCAGCACGAAACCGTAAGCTGACTTAAAACCCTCTTTTTGCTCATTAGTTTTCGTTAGTGTTTGTGTATTTAATGGGTGGCCCCAGATACTCTTCTTCGTCCTGTGTGGCCCAGAGATGCCGCGAGGTCACACACCCCTGCTGGGAGTGACTGTACGAGACGCACCACGCGCACTCCACAGGTGGGCAGGGACACTCGCACAGAGGGACTGAAAGCGCTGAGTCGGCCGGCCGGCGTTCACGAGTTAGGGTCGCATCTTAGATCTGCTCCCGGAGACCGGTTTCTGCAACTCGGACATGTGTCCACTGTCCTGGTCTCAGTTCTGGAAGCGGTGCCGCAGTGATTCAGAGATTTGAAATGTGTGCAGGGTCTGCCGTTCCCACTGCGGTATCTCGGTGTAACCCACGCACACTTCTGCCGCGATGGCGTCGGGTGAGGTGCAGGGCCGCTCACTGTCCGGGTGCGTGCTCATGGCAGGGGCGTTCGTTTCAGTCTGCAGCACCACGCTCTGGGTGGGACAGCTGGACAAGAGGACTACTCAGCAGGACGTCGCCAGTCTCTTGGAGGAGTTTGGCCCCATCGAATCGATTAATGTGAGTGTTCATTAAACTATTCAGTGGAAGTGGACAGGTGCAGAAGCGTCTGTGTGGTAGCGCTTAGGGGGTTGTAGGCTCGTTGATGATTGGCAGTGGAGACCAGATTTAAAGTGCCAGTTTACAAGTGATTTAGTCCCCGGTGATTGGAGCAGGGGTCGATTGAAGAGGTGGGTTGTGGGAACTGGTTACTTACTATTCTATCTTGTTGCTCTTTAATTTTGTTATCATATTTTATGACGTTGGAATGTTTTGGAGCAGATGATTCCTCCCAGAGGTTGTGCCTATATTGTTATGGTTCATAGGCAAGACGCGTACCGCGCCCTGCAGAAGCTGAGCCGCGGGAACTACAAAGTGAACCAGAAATCCATAAAGGTACGGTCATTCATATGCATCTTAAAAAAGAGGTGTCTGCTAGAAGTTAGCAGTGTTTAATGTTAGGTTCGTGGTAGAATTTTTATTTTTATTTTTTAATGTAGATAGAACAGTTCATTAAGGTATTTAAGTAATTGGTGCTTTATATATAATATCATTTGGTGAAATATTTTGTGTCACTTCAAAAATGTTGGATTTAAAATTTGTCATTTCATCTTAGCATTAACTATGAAAAGTATTCAACAAAGATAGAGAAGTGGATATATAGACCCGTGGGTGTTCTTCCCCTAGGGCCACAGTCAGTGTGTCCTCATTGTCATAACACTCTGTTCTGCCCTTGCATTGGGCCACAGATAGGTCTTGTCCAAAGTCTCGGTGTGTTGGGTGGTGCTTGGGAGTTTGCACTTGGCCCTGGTAAACCTTTTCCTTTAAGTTTTGTGCTGGCTCGGCTGGGCGGGCGGGGTGGGAGGAGTGGGTAAGGAGGTGACACCAATCAAATTTCCATTCTAGGACAGAGTGACAGGAATGGGCTGCCAGTGTCCTGGTGCCAAGTGAGGTCCAGGGAGAGCTAGGCCAGACTGCAGCTTTGCTGCCCAAGTGGGGGGGGCGGGGAGAACAGTGGGAACCAGTGAAGTCTCAACATGTGTGACATTCTCGGCCTTCCTTTCTTGTCTGTTTTTTAATGAATGGTGGAATAGATCGCCTGGGCCTTAAACAAAGGAATAAAGGCGGATTATAAGCAGTATTGGGATGTAGAACTTGGCGTTACTTATATTCCGTGGGACAAAGTCAAGCCTGAAGAACTGGAGAGTTTTTGTGAAGGCGGAATGTTGGACGGTGACACTCTTAACCCAGGTACGGCAGGACCCAGTGTCTTTCCGAGTCATGCGTTTTCCTGTTAATGCTTGTGACAGATTTTTTTATTTCTTTGGTAATATTACAGAGTGACTTTTGTGGCCTTTGCTTTATTAAGCAACGTATTAAGTGAAGAGATGCAGATCCAAACAAAATGACTGATCCTGGGGAAAACAGAGCAGATGAGTCTTAACCTGGTTGACTGCGAGGCTGTGCTTTAACCCACGGCTTCGTGATGATTGCTTTGGAAACGTTTGAACGTTCAGAGGAGAGTCGAGAGTGAGAGTGCACGCTCAGCGGGTGCCGCTACTGGGGTCAGGAGCACTAGCAGTGCCAGGGTGGCTAGGGTCCTGGTGTGGAAAGAGCAGCACCAGCAGGCACGGCCTGGAGACCCACAGGTGGCCTGGCGGCGGAGCTGCGCAGGGTGGCTCGGCCAACAGAGTGAGCGTGTCAAGGAAGCGTCCCAGCAGGAGCGAAGGCAGGAGAGCCTGTTCCCACAGCCCCCCTCCCTGCGCAGGCAGCCCGGCGTCGGGGTCCGCTCGGTGCCAGGCACGCTGGGGGGCTCTGGTCCAGGGGCGGGTTGTGCTCTTCCTCCCCAGACGCTGTCCCAGCAGCTACGAGAGCCGGTGTGTCTGGGCTGAGTCTCGTCTCTGCCACTTGCGGGCATATGACCTTGGACAGTTTGTCTTTGTTTTCCTCGTTTGTGCCATGGGAATAATAATAATGGGAACTATTTGTGGTTATAAGAATAGATTCAATTAGTGAATATGAAATGCTTAGAACTGTGCCTGGCACACAGTAAGCACTTTTTTTTTTTTTTTGCATATCTGCTAATTTAAATAATATGTATAAGATTAGCATAATCTTGTGTATAAGACTAGCATAATATTTCCTTAGTAATCAGACTGCTGGTTTTTTAATACAATCTGCATTTTAAAAATCATTTCTGGATTTAAAGTTACAGACTGAACATGGTAGGCCTGCATTGTGAAATTTGTTGAACTCTTACAGAGTGGAAAGGAATTCCCAAGAAGCACGAAAATGAAGTTGCTCAGAACGGAGGGGCGGAAAGTTCGCACACGGAACCAGTGTCGCCCATCCCTAACCCGCTGCCTGTGCCGGTCCCCCCGATGCCTGTTCCCGCACCCATAACGGTGCCTCCTCCGCAGGTACGGCCGCTCGGGGCGCTGCGCAAAGCCCAGGTGCCTGAGAGACGCCCTCTGACCCTCCCGTGGGGCTGTGCGTCTGGACTCGAGGTCCGGGTCGCGAGTGCGTGAGTGTGCACTGCTAATGTGGCACATTTTGGTGCGTCTGACCTGTCGCTGAGGTCTTCTGACACGTTTTTGACGGATGCGAGTGAAACCCAGGCCCACGCGTTGCCCACACCGGTCCGTGTCCCTGAGCGCGCCCCGGGTGGTGCTGCAGACGGGAGGGGCACACCTGTCCCGGCCCCTCGTGCTCTCAGCACGGCTTCGTTCTCCGTGGACTCGGGGTCGGAGGGGCGTGGGTTCGAGCTGCGCAGGCAGCTGTTGTGGGGAAAGGTAGTTTCTAAGCCTTCATTCTGGGTGGGCCGTCATGAAATTTTTTAATCGATTGAGTGCCATCAACCATGAAGGCGTATTCTTAGAGAGCCCTTACTGTCCTGGTGCTTCAGAAGAAAGGCTCTGGATTCTGGCAGAACAGGGTCTGGTCCCAGCTCCGCGGTTCGCTCAGCAGTGAGACCTTGGGCGAGGCACCTGACCTCCCGGCTTGGGCTCCCTGTGTGTGAGACGCAGGCCCCTCTCCTGGCTCCCGCCCTGGGCCCTGGCGTCTTCCTTGGTCAGAGCCATTCTGGGGGTTCAGTGAGCTCATGTGTGTCAGATACTCGCGGGTTTCCTGTTACATAATAAGCTGAATCATAAAAAACCTTTTGGTTAAAACTATAAATAGTTGAGCCATAGCTTTTATATGGCTTTTTCTCGTCTTTCAGTACCTCCCTTTCTCAGTTTCTCACGGCAAACCTGGCCGGTAGATCTGCACTAACGGGAAGTGGGGGCCTGGCCTCCTGCGTTCGCTGGAGGTTCCCCAAACCGGCAGTCGGCCTCCCACCGTGCCTGTCGGTGTCGGCTTGAAACGAGACTCCAGCACATCGGCACTCACTGAAAGGGGCCTGGCTAACGTGTTAAAACCGACTGTGCTTACTTTTATTAATAGCTAAGGTTTCTTTGCCGGGTGTTTGCACAGTGCCAGGCACCGGCATTTAGCGTGCACTAGCCCTTCGACCCCCGCAGTCCGCAAGGGCGACACCTTGCACTCCCAGACGTGTACGCTGAGGTCTGCGCACGCCTGCCCAGGGCCCAGAGCCGGTTCGGGGCGGCAGCCAGCCGACCCTGGGGCCTGAGGCCGGGTCACTGTGCACAGGTCGGGGAGCTTTTCCCCGAGTTCTGTGTCTTGGGGCCGCCTATTCTCGGGGCGTTGTTCAGCGGGGCGTGTTCTGTCGGGTGGGCGCAGTGTGGGTTGGCCGTCATGAAGCAGAGGGCAGAACTGTCGTTTCGGGCGGGGACAGATTGCCGCGTGTGTTTGGATTTACTCACATAGTAAGAACGAATTTGGAAATAGCTTTTTTTTCCAAGAAGACGTTTTCGTGGCCTCCCGCAGCCGTGGGTGGGAGGGCTCACGTGCGACCCCCATCCCTCTGTCTCAGGTGCCGCCGCAGCAGCCCGGTCCCCCCGTGGTCGGCGCCCTGCAGCCGCCCGCTTTCACGCCTCCCCTGGGGATTCCTCCTCCGGGCTTCGGGCCCGGCGTCCCGCCGCCGCCGCCGCCGCCTCCGTTCCTGCGCCCAGGGTTCAACCCGATGCATCTCCCACCAGGTAGGCCAGGTCGTGTGAGAACATGCCGGTTCAGAGTCTGAGGGACAGTGACCCCGCGGGACAGTGACCCCGCGGGAGTGACACCATCTTTGTCGCCGTAGGTTTCCTTCCGCCTGGACCCCCGCCTCCCATAACCCCACCGGTGTCCATCCCTCCTCCGCACACTCCACCGATGAGCATCCCCAACCGTAAGCACGGCCCCGTGGGCCCGCCCCTCTCGGGGGCGGGGGGTGGGGCGGGCTGGCCGGGGTCTGCAGTGTGGCGAGAGGGGCCAGGGGATGAGGGACCGTTCGGCTTCACGTGTCCCTGTGGTTGTGTCCCTTAGCTGCTATGGCTGGTGTAAGTGAAGACACCACAAAAGACTTACCTATTGGAAATCCCATTCCAACAGTGGTGTCTGGGGCGAGAGGAAACGCCGAGTCCGGGGACAGCGCGAAAATGTTCGGCTCTGCCGTGCCGCCCGCTGCGCCCACGAGTCTGCCCGCCCCTCCTGTAACCCAGCCCGTCTCACTCCTGGGTAAGTGGATGTGTTACCGTGCGCTGCTTCTCCTCTGCCCACGCTAGGGGTCGTCGCTTTTCGAACCGGTCATTTTGGCGAAATTTCCTCCATGAGTCTGACGTTTTCTTTTGAGGACGAGCTTCCTCTTAAATACGGGCTCTTGATCTTCACCACAAGTAGCCCAGAGACGGCCTCCCCGATGAAGTGGTGTGCGTGTCTGCCGTGAGCGGAAGTCGGGGGCTGCGTGTCTGATGTGGGACAGGAGAGGCCCTGGAAGGGGTGGCGCGTTGTCCGAGGCTCGGTGCCCCGCCTCGTAAGGGGGGGCATTTCCTCAACAACGCAGCGCCCCGCGCCCTGCGCCCCGCGCCCCCGGTTTGGACCGGTTTTTCTGTATCTGCCTTTGGTGGCGTCCTCTGTGGGCTGGCAAAGAAAACGGTCTTGGATACGCTGCAGTGAGAGGGCTTTGTTGCCTGAGTGGCAGAGCCCTCGGCGTCCCCCCGCTGGGGGTCGTCTGCTGTCCTCCACCCGGCGTGACCACGGTGACGGACGCAGGGGTGATTCGGCGCGCGGGCCACTGTAAGAGGCCGTACCCTTGCTCGCCCAAACTGCAGGTGGATGCACCGTGTCCTTGTTGTGCTGACCGTCTCCTCATCAGTAACTTGTTGTCCTGGAGGTGGCAGTGTCCAGTGTGCCGAGCACCTGCGTCTCCTCACGGGTGGCTCGTCCCCCTGGTGTGGGGGCGCTCCAGTCCCGCGAGTCCGTGGGTGCTCAGGGGTGCTCGTGCGTGCACACGTGCGTGCGTCATCTCGGGTGTTTCCGGAGAGAGCGCCCCGGTCACCTGCGGTGTCGGGCTGTGGGGCGCCGGTGCCAGGCGCAAGGCTTCGACTTCCCACCTGCGCCTTCCAGGGCTGCCGGGGGTTCCCCTCGTGCCCGCACTGCGTTTACAACAAAGCTCTGCTTGTTTCTAAGTGGCGTGCAGTCTTCTGGCCTCCCCAAGACTGAGTGTAGGTTGATCATGAACTTGACCTTTACTTCCCCCAGCTCACAGACTGAGTGACTGTAAAAGGGTGTGGGGTTGGGATCTGTCACTAGCGATGTAGCGGGGGTCGTCGTGACGACAGCAGACGGTCGGTGGAGTGGGGAGGCCGCCGCAGAGGGGCCGGGGGGCCCCGGGCAGAAGGAACTCGGACTAGCGGCTGGGGCCCGGCGGCTGCGGTTCTCAGTGTCGTCTTGTTCTGGTGCTCACGGTTGCGGCAGAGTCGCAAGGCTCCCGGGCTCCCAGGTGGACAGAATGTCCCGGTGAACCCCTCTCTCACCCACACTCCTGATCACCAGTGCTGTTCGAGATGGAATCTTCTGGTCTGACCTCCGTGGATGCTAGGCCACCTGAGAACGTTTACTGAGTTGTGTGCCTTTGCTTTTTTTTCTGGGCTTAATAAATTAATTGAATAAGAGATTTCATTAATCTCCCAGAGTGTAATACCCACCACTTTCGAACAGCCTTGAAGAGTACGTAGCCTGCCTTGATTTACCATTCAGGGCTAGAAGAGTCTGCCCTCTGCTTCTTGTCACTGCCGGGGTGTGCGAGGGAGACTCCGCATCCACCACGGGAAACAGAGTGGGGCCGTTCTGAAGGTGTGTGCTGGGAAGGCAGATTTAGCGTTACCTGGCACACCTGTAGTGCTGTCCCTCCTCCCCTCCTCGCCCCCAGCACCCCCGCTGGAGGGGACGTCAGTTACATGACGGTGCCAGGCTGTGGCACCCTGCCTGTGGCAGCCTTTGTAGCTTTTAAAGCGCAGTTCAGAGATTGACAGCTCTCCAAAATCTGGAAAGCTTAAAATTTGACATAACGTAACAGTGAAAACTTGTTAAAAATCAGCAGTTTTTACTGAAGTGGAGTTTCAGTCAGAGAAGGAAAGCCTTCTGTGTTCCTTCTGTTAGAAACCTTGAAAAGAGTGCCCCGTGAACTTGACCTTTCAGAGAAACGAGGCTTCTCTGTGTGCATGCAAAGAAGGGGTTACCCAAAAGACTGGCCGTGGTCCCCTCGTCTGGAGGAAGGGGTGACGTCATGCGCACCCACCAAAGGTAGTGGTCGGGTGGGGGCCCTGCTGCTCTGGGCCAGGTTGCGGGGCCCTGGCTGCAGGCGCTCACGGGTTCCTCGGGGCGCCCCGGCGCGCTCTTCCGTGGGACGCCCCTGCCCTCTCAGCCCGGGAGGGGCGTGTGGCCCCGAACTACACCCCAAACTTCGTTTCTTCGCCCGAGAAAAGGGGACTGGAACGCTGTGGGTGCAGGTGTCCTGGGGACTGCACAGCCTGCCACCCGGCGGGCACGCCGCAGGGGGCGGGGTGGGCCGCAGGCGGCGCCCAGACCGCCTCGGGGCGGGGCTTAGCTGCTGTGATCGGTTTCAGGGTCTTACAGGTTTCGACAAAGGAAGCAGACCCTTGGGGGGGGGGGCGGATTTTTATCTTGACATAGTTGCCTCGGGTGTTTTCATGGCAGATCAGACCAGACCCCAAGTTCACACACATGTTAAAGTTCCGTGAACTGGCTTGCAGAGAACCTGTGTGTGTTGGTCGTGACGGAGCCTCATCCGGACAGCATGACACGGTGTCTGGCCCCTGCCCGTCCCTCGTGCTCAAACAGTTTCCCGGTGGAAGGCGGCTGTGTCATTGAGACACTTAGCTGACTCGGGCCCTGACCTCTGAAGTGCAGCAGTGACATTTTTAAGTGGCAGGGGCCAGACACGCGTCCGTGAGAGCTGCCGGAGGTCTGTGATGAGGCCTGGTCATGCTGGTGGGGGCGGCGGGGTGCTCGGGGGCGGGGCCCGGTTCCGTGTGCAGAGCCCTGGGAGCGTCAGACGTGAGTGTAGGCATTGGTTTGGGGTCGCCACTCCATGTTTCTGGGGTCGTGCTCAGGCAGCCACACAGCCAGAGTCACGGAGAACTGACCCTCCACCTTCTAGAGGTTCTGGGTGTTTTATTAGAGACCGATCATCTGAGAGGACACAAGTACTTGATTCACAGTAATTCGGTATCACCGATGTTTAAAGAAATCCCGTCTAACACTGCACACCCCGTGAGAGCGGGCAGAAGGGGGGCTTGGTGCGGACCGATGGGAGGTGTCCTGGCGCTGGTCGTTCCGGAGGGGGGTGTCGGCGGCGACAGCAGCTTTGTTCACCCCCTCCCTGTGCACGTGCACCTGCACCTGCTTGCTCCTGTGCGACGTGTGCCTGCCATACTCTGTGCCGCGTGTTTTGTCAAGTCTGTCGTGAAGGCGAAGTTTGGGTTCCTTTGATGTTCCAAACAATAAAAAAGATACGTAAAAGAACTGTTTGTTTGTGTTACGTGTTTCTACTGTGTTACCAGTATATCCAAAATGTTTTTTCAAGGAAAAAGTATCCTAGGTTGGACTCATTCCTTCTGTGGAAAATTAAAGCTTCTTTTCTTGCCAAACACATTTAATTATTAATGTGCAGAGAAGCTTCGCAGTTTTGTAACACTGCTGTAGGTGATGGTAAATTCATTAATAAGAATTGGGTATTTGTAAGATTGTTTCCTGCTTACTGGTAATTTCTGTTACCGAAAATTTAAATCCAAAGTGACAGGTGGGAGGCCGCAGCCTGAGGTGCTGGGTGTGCCTTGGGCTGGGTCTTCGCCCGCCCGCGCACGGCCCCAGTCGGCACGACGTGTTGGGGTTCCCTGACCCGCACACTAAGGAATCACGTGGACGGAATTGGTTTGTGAACTGTCACACCAAAATAGCTGTGTTTGCTTTCATGCAGTATTTCATAGTCCTTGAAACTGCCTAGAAGACAACTAATTTTACCCTTGACTTCTGTAATTGCTTTAAAACTGGTATTTGGTTTGCAGTGATTTTAGTTAAATTTCTGTGCGCAGATTTTTTTAGTCATTAGTAACTTTTAACAACATTGGGACTGGAACGTCAAGGCACCGGCTTGCTGGTGTGAGGCACCGAGAGGAGACCTGACGACTGTCCTGGAAAGCAGTATTTTTAACAACATCTAACTTTTCAAACACAGTGTTTTGCAGCCTGATATTTTTTCCTGCAAACCTTGTCACGGCGTCCAGTCACAGTGATCGTAAGCCAGAGGACCCGCCCCGCGCTCGGTTCAGTGCCAAACGAGCGCGTGGCCCGTGGACCCTGTGAAAGCGCCTTCCTCTGGGAGGCGTCCGGACACGCACTGTGTCGCCCACTCGTGTGGTGCGGTGGAAACGGGTCCCCAGACTCACCACGGGGCCTTCAGCTCCGCGTGTCGCATTGTTCAGGAGCTCCTTCCTGCAGGTAGCCCACAGCCGGTGCTCGCCCTGCTGTGGGTTGGAGCTTTCTCGGCAGGGGCAGCACTGCAGACGGCACACGGGAAAGGTCTCGAGGAAGGGCCCGGAAGGTGCCCGTCACGTTCTGCCCACACCCCCTGCACTCCCTCGGCCGCAGAGCCCCCGCCCACAGTCTTCACCCTCATTCACCCTCGCTCTCTGGGGCTGGGGGCAGGGGGTGGGGCGGGGCGGGGCTCTGGGCGCGTTTTATTAGCCAGATTCTGCTGTGAAGAGTTCCAGGTAAGATTTCTTTGCTGATAGCATTGAGAAAAAATTCCTCGTGGATAATCTCATTCAGTGATAGGTTAACTGTATGTTTTAAACTGTTCATGCTAATAGCCCAGCTCTTAAATCTAAGTCATAGCTGTTACACTTCGCCAATTATAGTAGGAGAGCAATTAATGTGCAAACTGGAATTCTAAAAAGCAAGTGAACCATGGGGAAATAATCAGACAAAGCCCTATCACACTTTTTTTTTTTTTTAAGGAAAAACCAGGAGTCATTTTTAACTGATAGTAATCAATCTCTGATTTCTCTTTATTTGAAATTCTGGTTCCCATGTAATAGATTTTATCAAAAGTGTACCTTATGCTAAAAATAGATACCAGCCTGCCTGCATTAATTATTGAAAACTCAAATTTCTCTTTAAAAATCTTTCACTAATATTCTAAGCACGATTTTAAA